AATTCGGCACTTAGGCCTTAATTTGTATTTATTCAGCCACTAGTACGTTAATTATGTCGGGGCAGAGTTGTAAGGAACGTCTCACGTTTGATCGATACCGACACGCGCTCTTGTTTTTTGTGTGTGTTGGGGTTCACCGCCATCGTATTCTGAATATTCCTTTCCTTATATCATTCGTTGGTGTACGCACGGCACACGTTTTGTGCACTTCTGCGGTGAATGCTTCCAACTATGATATATTTAAGCCCAAGCAAAATCCATGGCTGCAATTTCTTACGTTGTGTTTTTGCACAATTAACACAATTTATACTGCATTGTGTGTGCCACACTGCTGTATATTATCTCATTTTAATAGTAATGGCACACTATATTTAGTTTTTTTCCTCTTCCATTTATTCATAACAGTATGTTGTACTGTGCATTTTGTTGTGCGTTAGATACACAGGTTGCCTTGTGAAAGTTATGTTTGTATAGTTGGTGGCAAATGCTTGGTCGGAACATATTTTATTTGATGTTTACAATTGGTATTTGGAAATGTTTTGTGTTTATACAAATCGCTGTGGTTGCTTGTGAGAATGACACTGCACAGTTGGATCGTTGCTGTGTAGAGAGCATGTATTTAAGCAGCTGCGCTTTAAAAAAAAACGCGTTTTTTATGGCTGTCGAGTCAACTGTAAAACATGAATGTGCCCTTGTTAGACGTTGTATCTGCAGCTGGGGGTGAAAGTGTTCTGCTGTCATTATGCTCATCGTTATTTACAAAGGATGATGTCGTGGTGTAATTGGTTGGCACACTGTATTTGCATGTGGGAAGTTAACCGGTCTGATTTGATATCCCGGCACGGGCAGTTGAAACAATAGTGCCAATTGTTTAAATCTCCACGCCCACCAATCCCACTGCCTGTGTTCACCCAGCAGCAGTATAAATGTGTATACCACACTAGACCAGCAAGGTAGAATGTGGTGAAGTTAAGCGTGGGTACTGGTTACCTCTTCCAAGATTGCTGGCCAGCATGGAAGAGTAGGCCAAATACCCTCCGGAGGGGGCTCGCTCGAGCGACGCTTTGGCGGACGCCATTCCATCTGCCACTTCTGGAGAATGTTTGCAATGCGGCGTACGATGGATGCCCAGTACACGGGTGGGATGCATCTGCCCCCTGCCATTAAGGCTCATGCCTTTTTTACATAATCATCACCCATGCTCAATCTACTGCTGAATGAAGTCGTCTTCAATCAGCCGCCGTCGCTCGTGATTCTGCAATGTAATAATCCCGCGAGCACCTGCATACCAGCTGATTGAATTGCCCCATCTCCTCGATGGATGTTCTTTATATCAGGAGGCGTTGGACCTCGCGTGGTAGATGTCCACAATCAATAGTACGTTACGGCGTTTGGCCCAAACGTTGGTTAAAACGTAGGGGGAAATTTGGATTGCGGGCAGGACAAAGCGGATATAGAAATGCGAGAGTGCGTGAAAAACATGTGCGCACATGGACAGATGCCCCTTTTAGTCGTGCGAGCTGCTTGCTGTATAATGCTGTTTGTTTCCACGAGGCCCAGCCCCAGCACACAGGGGGGTGGTCGAGGCAGGACCATGCTCAGCCAACTTTGTCTTCCCACTGCTGATGTTTACTCACTGAGCCAGGGACAATTTGTTTAGGGATATTTGACCTCAGGGAAGTACACTTCAGGTTTACATTCAACCTTCCATCTGGGTCACCAGGATTGTATTGCAATGTATGTGTGCACAAGCCACTAGACCGCCACTACCTACTCACACAAAGACAAAGATCCCCCATATAGCCTTTGAGTGAGGACCTACGAAGGCCGGAACAGCATACGAGAGGGTTGGTCGCCAGTACCACCCCTGGCTGCCTTTGTCTCCCCAGTTGGGGTTGTTTACACACCGCACCAGGTATTCATTTGAGGCGGAGTCGACCTAGGGGATGCCCAGGACCGGTTCAAATAATTGTCACATGTGTTGGCCCTGACCGGGAATTGAACTCGGGCCACCGGGTTTATAGCACAGCGCACTAACCGCTGCACTACAGCTCGCCACACGCACCCGCAATCACACACACAAGCACGCGCATGTACATCACTGCCTCTACATCTAACCCTTCAGTTCATTTTAAATAAGGTTGAAAGTGCTGTGTTGCCTTTCATTGCTTTTTTTTTCTCCCTTGCACTAATCTCCCAGAGTGCATCACTTTGATGCGCATGCACAGTGGGCATGCTTTGAATTCATTTCCATTCATTGTGTCCTCAGAAGGGAATCCTAACTCGGCGCAGGTATGTGACCGATACGTGGGTACAATTCAGAGAGGAATGCCAAGGGCCATGAGACCCAGGCCCACCAGTCAATATCGCAACCGCTCTTAAGCCGAGTCCAGCAGGAAAACAAAACAACAGCGCAAATATATTCAATTTAAACACCGGGTCACTGTATATTTCAAGGATGAGAGGACAGGTTGTTAACCAAGCCGTAGACACTCTGTTACAAGTTCACTTGCGCAGTCAGTATGTGTTCTTGACACCTGTGGCTCTGAATACATATTCGCTTCACCTGGGATTTGTTTGAACAAACACAATGCGGCGTTTGGACGGTCGGGATGGAGGGGCTGGAAAGGAGGAGCTGCCCGTGGGGGTGCTGGCGTATCCCGTGGTCACTGTCTTGGCTCTTTTGGCCAACTGCAAAGTTGAAGCAAGATAGCGCACCGCTCAAGATATATACAACATAATTCCGCGCCTGCTGGTGAATTACGATTGTCGAACGCTGAAATGGTCAAGGCGCAGCTCGGCGATGTCTTGCATCGTGCCGCTGCTGGCGGAAGGAGGCCTGCTCGAGGTAGCTCTCGAGCAGACATGGGCAAAGTACGGCCCCCGGGCCGTATACGGCCCGTTGGGATTTTTAATCCGGCCCGCCGAACTTGTCCAAATATTATTATTATTAAATTACATTTTCCCCTTCTCCTGTAATGCCCCCATTTCCCCATTAGATGGCGCACTTTGACCGGGAGTTACGACATGTTTTTGTATTGTTCATGTTCGTGCAATTTGTTAAATTGCCTTGCAAATAAATGCTTTGCTACCTGTTAAAGGCCAAATCCTTTCATATAATTATTTTTACATGTCATTTATATTAGTTCGCACAACCACACCATCCATCTGTTCCTGGCCCGGCCCCTCTGTCAAATTTTAGAACCCATTGTGGCCCGCGAGTCAAAAAATTTGCCCACCCCTGCTCTAGAGGATATCGTGACCTATTCTTTCAAGCTGGCCAGGTGTCTTGGAAGACGTGGCATACCCACAATTTACTCCACCACACTCGACCTGCCCACTGGTTAACCGTTGTGCACTCATTTGCACTGCTGGGTGGACAGAGGCAGTGCGATGCTGTACGTAAAAAAAAAACCCTTGCCCCATTGCTTCAACTGTCACGTCAGGAGATGGAACCAGCGGCGACCTCTGTATTGTCAATCCTGTTTGCTAACCGTCGCACCACAACAGCACCACTGAGTTGGGGTTAGTACCAAGATGAACACGTGTGCACGTAACAGAATGACACTTTATCCATAGACAAATGCTCCTTCCAGATCAATAATTCCCACTGTGTATGTGTGTGTGTTCAAACTAGACGAACCTTCGATGGGTTTCAGCCTCAGCCGGGTGTGGCCTGTCATACGAATGCTACTCAGTGACCCAATGCGTGCAAGAGCCGTTTCCAAGAATCCCATTTCATTAACCTTTCGTTAAGATACAAATTGTGGTGTCATTGATGAGATTGCGTCGAATGCGTTATTTTAAATTTACAATTAATTACTCATTGATAAAATAAGGTTGCGTTTCTTTAAATGTTATCCCTCAAACGTGTTCTGTCAGCAGGGTAATTTGCACACAGCGCGTGCAAACACAAAGCGAGCGAACTGCCGATCTTTTTGGCCATTCACTGCGCGGCTATGACCAAGTAAAACATGTATGAGTCTTGCATTGAAAGTTTGTACCCTGATGCATGCATTAGATGCATGCACGGACCATAAAGTTCAAAGTTTCTTGCTTCGGCTTAACATCTCTCTTGGGCATCCTTGTACGGCTTGAAATGCTACCTGCATACAAGGTAATACTTATGTGGATGAGGGGGAAGCCCTCCTCCACCAATGCAGTCGACCAGTTTTTATTCATTTTACAGCGGACACATTCACGAGTTCGTGCATGGGGCTCTGTTGCAAGGGGCCAGCAGATGGGGTGCCTCGTGCATTGGATCTGTCCTGGTGCGCCCAGTCATAGTCGCCATCCCGTGTAGGGCAGCATTCAACTCTCCCTGTGGTCTGGAGCCAGTGGTGAAAATTCCACAATTTTAGTGTGTGAAAGAGGCCGGTTTTTTGCGCATAGATTTTTGTGGCGTTGAGATTTAGTTAAAAATAAATATTTGGGCACATTGCTGGCTCTGGTTAGCTGTCGTGAGTGTTCACTAACATCAGCTTTGTCATCCTTCTGCTTTTCCAAAAAAAACCTATTCTGTGATGGGTTTCCAGGTTGGTACCGTATGTACCCATCCATCGGAAACCCATCAGAGAGCTCCGCAGCACACCCATGATAGGCTCCGCAGTAGCAGTATGGGTGGAGGTGACTTTTGCAATGCTGCATAATCTCAGTGTGCCAGGTTTCATACCTGGTCACTCACACTAGTGGCATGTGGCAGGAAACCGAGATTAGCCGGAGAAACCCCACATAACGCTCAGCGCTCCACACAGATTAAATCGTTGATTGCTGCACTGCCATATCCTCCAAGTCGCAGCCGACAACACCTGGTATTTGCAAGCATTATTCTGTCGGAAGTAGCAACCAGGCCAAAATCCTGTTTAGTTTCTGAGATCTGATTAGATTGGCTGCATTCAGGGTGTGCGCGTCTGTTTGTACGGGTGCTAACCCGAGTTCTTATTTTTGGGGCATTGTTGAAGTCGCCGTGAGTTGATGCGCTGTTATCCCCTTTTTTTCAGGCAGATGGACACGAGGAGCATCACGTGAACGGCAACATGGACACTTCTGCAAAAAAGACACGGCTGGTGCAGCCACCCACACGGTAGGCAGTCGCTGCAGATTACCGGGCTTTATTTTCATCGAGAAAATGCCTCCGCCTCGTGCATTCCACATACGCATGGATGGGCGCGCTTAAGAAGCCGGCTTTGGGCTGAATCAAATTGTGGGCAAGGCTCACATTAAAGGACGGCCCTTTTTTATCTGGAGGAATGACGCTTCTTCAGCAGACGAGTTTAACTGCGGTGCTGTGACTCGTCGTCAAAGGGCTGATTGAATCGCCAGGTTTGGGGTATTGGCTTGGCTATTTATAAGCGCTGTACGATTCTGCAGGGTTGTTTTTTAAGATGATGGCAAAAAGTGGTGGCTGACACGGAACCAACACAGCAAATGCGGTATATATATGTCTAAATGTAATGCTTTTCTGGGTGGTGCATGTCGCCGTTGACGGTCCTAATTCAGTAATGGAAATTCCACGTTCCTATGGCAAGGATCAATTTCTCTACAAGAAATCGGTCACTTTACAACGAGTGGTGCAGCAACAACCCCTTAGGTGGTTGCTTATATGACTGGCCACGTTGGAGTGGCGACACCCGTGTCTAAAGCGGCCCCAATTTGAACCCAACAATGGAAATAAAAAATGTATACACAAATGAGCTCAAGGGAAGAGGTAAAATTAAGGCATGAGATGCTGTGTGTACGGATCTTGACACTTTTAAATATATTGCAATTGCAGGGGTTTGTGTGTACAAGGGTGGACCTTGTTTGGCTTGCCGCCTTATCATCAAGGCAAGTGTATTGGGTAAAATTGACCGATCGTAGGACATCTACCCTCCCCCTGGGAGAGACTCATCAAACCAGAGTCCCCTTCAAATTAGTACGCCCCCGTTGTAGGCTCCTCTAGCCGCGCGCAATGTCAGTAATTAAGCAAAATAAATAATCCGCTGGGTGGCACTGCGGCCAGCTGTTCTTCACCAATGAAAACCCAGAGGCTAATTAAAGAAAGAGGGAGGAGGGGGGAGAGCAGTTTACTCCTGTCCCCCCCCCCCCTCATTTCAGGGTTTAATTTTGTGTTAAATTTTAATTAAAGTGGCTGTTTTACAGTTCAGAGCACGTTTTGTAGCGGCACGCGGGTGCATGACAATAAGGTGTGTTTAAAGTTGCAGGAAGATCGTTCCCTGTGGGTGCACACGCGGGGTCACAACGTGCCACATTCACGGGCAGGGGATGATGATGGCGCAGACAGAGAAGGCTTTATTTCTGCTATGTTTGTCCTCGCCAAGTCTTCTTTCATTCTTCAGCGTGCGCAACGTGCGAGCAATTGTGGGTTAACTTTCAAGCCTCTGTTTTTTATTTTATTAATTCAGTGTGTAGTCTCAATGTGGTATAAACCACCATCACGGATTACCGTATTCACAGTTTTCATATCCCTGATAGCTTTCTCAAATTATATTTTCACGAATGAATCTTTTTTTTTTAAGCACAGACGCTTGTTTGTTAATTTCACACTGTACATTTTCTTTTCTTTTTTTAGTCAAAGGAATTTGTTCTGTTCGTGGCTTAAAAACAAGGTGGCATGTTCACCAATATATCCAACGTGAATTGACAAGAAACTTGTCTTGGAGAGGCCTATGACGGTTTGTTGTTGTGACTATTATACTGATAACCAAATATCTGCAGGGTTAATGCTGCATTGATTGGTACAGTTGATTGATTTTAAAGAAAAAAAATGCCAGCAGTTTTAGTTATTTATTGACTTCATTTTTTACGCTCGCTGATTTAAAATGTATGATGGAATCAATTAAGTGTAGCCATCTGAAAAATGCATTTCAAACTAAACGGACAAATGTGTTTTTTCTTCTTCTTAACAACCTTGGAAAGCCTCTTCAAACGAGTGGGTGGCAGTGCTCATCACTGTTGGTGGTTCCAAACCAGTGGTGGAAATTCTACAATAGTAGAAACAAGCGTTACATTTTTTGCAACAATGGTACTTTTTTTGTATTGACCAAGGAGGGACGATGCGCGAAGTCGACCATTGACTGGCATTTTAAATGTGAAACCTTCCTAATGCGAGTGAAAGAAACTCTGTACCCACAGTGCCACTTGACGGAATTACATCTCTTTTCGAGGTAGTTAAAATGTTGTGGCAAGTGCTCTTACCGAATGAGGCGGGGGTCGGGGGGTCAGAAAGTATAGGGACTTTGACATTCTTCTGTCACCAATGTCAATGTGTTTTCGGAAAACATTTCACAATACACGGGGCGTGAAACCTGTCGAAGATGAACATGCTGGAATGACATCAACGAGTGGACCCAGCTCAGCTCGGGGAACATCAATCCCCGAAGCTGACACCGATGGATAGTTGGAATGTCATAGTGCGCATTCTTTTATTCCACGCGTTGCTACTAGATGATAGATGTGACATCAAAGATGGTGGCACCCTTGCACAACTGCACATTAGAAGAGCAGCGAGCTGTTATCCCTTTGTTGTATTTAATGATGTAAACCTTAGTGAAATGTATCCAGTAATAAATTTGCCAACTGTGTAAATGATATATTTACAAATAGGTAGAATCGCTGCCTGCAATCGAGACGTGCATGTTTGTGATGATGATGTAAGTGATAGGTCAGTTGACACTTCAACTCCAGCCAACGTCACCCGTGTTGAGAGGTTGGTTTTGGATGATACAAGAATAGAATTAAGCATGTATCGGTAGTCGTAGGGATATGCATGGAAATGTCATCCAGTAACTTCATCGAACAATTTTGATTGCAGCTGTTTGATGGATTGTTGCATCACAAGCCCATGAGGGATGGCAATAGCTTAGGGAGGCCAGTAGTGGATAGATCGTGCAGATTGTCCCCTTGTATGCTTGAACCAGGTTTTCCTGGTTTCTTTAAATGGGCTCTGTTTATGGTTTCAAAAAAGTATTGACAACCGTGAGTTGGCAGGGTGGCTCAGAGTACTCAGCTGACATGGCTGAGGTCCTGGAATCAAATTTGATTCTGAAGTACAGTGAGTTGATGGCTTTGGCCTGGTGACTAATGACTGCACACAAAAGGTAACCTATGACATTTATATTCTGGTTCTTTCGGTAGAGTCACGTAGAAGGGAAACAATAAAATAATAAAAATATAAAACAATAAAATTCTCACGACGTTTCGACTGCAACACAAGCAATCATCATCAGGTGTGAAAACCACAGCAAGAAAATTTGAGAATTTTCTTTCTTGAAAATTTTCTTGCTGTGGGTTTCACACCTGATGATTATTGCTTGTGTTGCAGTCGAAACGTCATGAGAATTTTATTGTTTTATATTTTTAGTATTTTATTGTTTCCCTTTTACGTGACTTTACCGAAAGAACCAAGAATATGAATCCCTGCAGTCACGAAAGCTTTCAATCAAAACTATGACATTTAATTTGGTTCCGCACTTAATTTGGGTAAGTTAGTCTCTCATGCAGAGCTGGTGGGAAAGCGCCGCCCTCTTAGTGTGTGGACCAGAAGTTATCTGAAGGCATCTGAAAGGTAGCTCTCTGATATTCACTTTCACACTTACTATTGGCTGTTGTCCAGGGCAATCCACTACACTGTGGAATGTCGGGATGGATATTTTGCCTGATAATGCTGGTGTCACAACCAGAATAAAATTAGGTGGGGTGGGAGGGGGGTCGGCGGGGGATGAAGTATTAATAAGTTATTAATATTATCCCAAATTACAGCATTGATGATGCTGCAAACGTCATGCAAACCGTTGAAAATGGTTTCCTAAGATAACCTTTGCAATGAATTGCTTACGAAGCTATTTACAATCGTGTTCACTGCCGCGGTACAACGTACACATGGATAGGAAGGCAAGAATATGAAATTAGAGAGAGAGAGAGGGAAAAAACAATGCATCGGGGTCATGTTAGATTTGCTCCAATATAAAATGTTTCACAGACCCTTTGACGTCACAGAATTCTAAGGCGCTGTACACCTCTCCTGCAACGCTCTTGCACATAGATTCATTGCGTTTAATTATTGACGTGCTGCGTGTCTTCTGCCAGTTCCTCAAGTGGGATCGTACGCGGGTTTTGCTTTAATCATTGAGCATTGAGCTGTGCAGGGGAAAAAAAAACAATGATCATGCGGTGCAACATTTATTTATTTTTTTCCCCAAATATAATCCCCTCCCTCCACACTTGTAAATGCTTTTTTTTTCCCTACCCTGTTCCCAAGCTTGCGCATCTGCCTTGTTGTTACGTTCTTACTATTTTGTGGTGCAATGCGAGATTGTGTGACCAGAGCATGACGCTCCTCCTGAATCTGTTTGAGATGTCGCGACGCGTCAATTCAGCCATCGTAATCGATGATTACGCTCGCGAAACGTGGATCAGTTTGCACGTGTGTGTGTGTGTGAAGAATGGACTATTTGCGATTGCTTATAATAAAAATACTAATTATATGCTTTCGTTGGAGTTAGGTTAAATAACAATAAACAGGACAAGTGAGATGTAAAAATAGGAAAAAAAGTATCTTTGTTTAATAAATGTGACCATGTTAGTCCCATACCCTTTTTCAGCCAGGAACCTAAATAAGCGGGATTTTCCTTTGCGAGTTATCGTCATGTCGTAGTTTTTATTTTTATTTTATATACTTTTATTTCTTATATCTATGTGACTTTACCGAAAGAACCAAGAATAAGTCAATAGTAAGTTGGGTAACTGCAGTGTTGTAGGGGGTGTGTTTAATTATTTAATTCAACTTTATTGGTGGTAAAAAATTTTTTAAAAATCTGTCATTGGGCCATGATTTAAGTACACTATCCACTCATGTGGATGAGGCCAACTCATCTTTAATGTCTACTTACAGCAGATCTCAGCAGATAACACACTCTGACCAGTCCTATCATCCACTTGACTTCCCACAAAGCTGTGCTAATTTTATTGACTCTATAGAAGTGTGAGTCAGCCCTTCCACCAGAATTGCAACCTTCATCTGGGTTTTGAACTTACGACCTTCTGGCTGATAGTCAAGCGCTCTAACCATAGCGTCAACTGACTTTATTTCCTTTTCCGTGACAGCACTATGGTGCGCTACATATCTCGCACGCTGTTCTCAAGCTTAGGGCGTCAGGCTTGTGCGACAAACACAGCAGTAAGACACAGGGTACTTTGATAATGATGGCGACGACGACGACGACGAAAGAAGATGATGATACATTAGTCCCAATGTTGGCACATCACAAACAAAACGCTTGTTGTATATGTGTCCCCTGCCAGGGCTGGAGACGGTGATGTGAGAAGTCTCCCTGCTGCTGATAGCGAGGGCATCTGCACCATCCTGTGAGGTTGGCCTCCAAGCGCCGGGCTTCTAAGCCACCCAGCGTGCAGCAGCGGGGGAGGGGTGCACTGCTCACTTCGCGGTCCGCCAAAGCACACGCAAGCCGGGAGGAGACATTTGAACCTTATGGCGGGTTACCCCGGGGTGCCATAGTACCCCGGCTCTCACACAATGTCCGTGATGCAGTCATGTTTAGTCCGTTGATGGTCGGCGATGCGGCGATCGACTCATCTCGACGAGCTGTACTCACGATGCACCACCGCCACGGTGTGTACCGCGAGCGTTCAGGGTTCCGGCGCAATCGCCCTCGCTGCGTTTCGACATCGCGGAGTGTGGCACCGCTGATTTGGGATTGATTGGTACCCCCAGTCGCGGAGTTTAGGTACACCCCTGGAAAAAAAAATAGTGTCCCAGAAATAAAATATTTAAATTGCCTCGGCCATTTTGTATCATTTGGTACCCCGGGCTACCACCATGAGGATCAGTTCAGGCAGCTCGGACGACGCATCCGTTGTAACGTAAACAACCGAGGTGTGGTCGCGATGCTTTTTTTTTTAAATAACAATTTGAAATACGTGCGTGCTCACACACTTTTTTTGTTAAACAACATCCTCACCTCGAACATGAAGGTATTTGTTATGTGTGAGAATGCAAGGCTGTTAATTGTCCCTCATGCAACCAGGTACAAGCCCGTTGAGATTTTTTAAATATATATATAAGGGAGGATTATGGTTATGGAGGGTCTGTTTTTATTCATCTTTATTCATTTATTTGCTTCAGGTAGTTTTCGTTTGGGATGCGGTTTTAATTCTAATGAAGGGATGGTCACATGGTGTTTGACGTGGGTGCAACGACCCCCATCCCCATGGATTCGATGGATAGTCGCGATTCAGGGTCGCCGTTAGATTTAACAATCGCTTATTTTTTTTAAACGTTGCCGTGAATACAATGGCTACTTGCGGCAGGAGGCGGGTCACACAAACCCATCGCGAGCGACGTCTACGATAACAAATATCGATTACAACACTCACGATTCGATGCATGTCTTGCGAGGTTAAGAAGCGATGTCAACCGGTGCCTTCACGTTTAACTTCTCCCGCGTGACATCAGACAAGGAATTCCATGCAAGCACTACCGGCCAGCTTTATTGGACGCTGCCGAAGTGTAAATGGGTCGCTCACTGGAATTTCAAAACGAGAGGTCGCCGTTTCAATCCGCCCGGTGCGCCGCAGTTGAAACTCTGGGACAAGTTTATTGAATGCCCCCCCATACTCTGCCCCTGTCCAGCCAGCTGTATAAATGGGTACTCCACAGTTAATCGATAGGCTGCTCGCACACGGCGGCCTAAAGCGTGGGTACTGCCACCAACTTCCAAGACGTGTACCCAGCGTGGAAGAGTAGGCCGGCCTAATGCCCTGTAGAGGTGCTCTCAGGAGCTTCCTTATCGTCAAGAGGCCCTTCTGTCAGGAGTGGTGTGAGCAAGGACGGACTCTTTGTTACTGGCCAGCTCCCAAGAACTGAACCACCAGACCTCGTCGCAACTGCCTGAGTGGTACTCTTCATATTGTATGTTGAAGTTCTTTTGCACCATACGTAACCGACCGTGTTCAGCGGGGGAAGGACAATAAACTAGGCTGCGTAGCCATTCCAGCTGCTCGTAAACAAGGAGGTTTAAAATAAGTCCGTCCTCTGTGCTGTTTTAAAAATGTTTTGACCACAGTTTTTACATTCAGACGCCAACATTAATGCTTTTCAGTTATTTGTATTGTATAAGGTTAAAATGAAGATTGAAAAAATATCCTTCGGTATATTTTTCAGCCATAGGTGAAATATGATAAATCTGCCAGTAAAATTCAGCTATTGATTCATATTGCATGTGAGATTTCAGTTTTATAACAGATTAAGCATGGTATGCAGTCGTTAATTTGCAAAAAGATATATTGTCATACGGTGTTAAACTAGAACGTGTTTTAAAAATTACATTCATGCATAGGGTAATTCACTTATCTGTCAATTCCTTGTGCAGTGTTCTTGGGAAATACGACACAGACCATCCGTGTGACAAAGACGTGTTTTGATTTTAACAGATGTATGCTCTTTGCAGCCTGTCAAAAACTGTTTTAACATGTAAATAAAAATAAAAAATAATTGTCCGTATCGTGGAAACAGGGTGTTTCAATATTGCGATTCAATTCATTAAGAGCCATTCAGAAAAATGTTGGAAATCCATATCCTTAGTTATATTTTTCCCTACATAGTCTAAAAAAACAAGTGCTGCCAATTTCACTAATGACGTACGTCTCTTTATATACCGTCAAGTTGTAACGGCTTTTTACTAGGTGATTTTTTGCGAGTGCAGATATTTTGGGATTCATCTGTGGACACAGCCCCTTTCCGATGGTGATCCTCGGAAACATTTGTCAACACGTTCCCGACGCCCGCAAAACAACATCAGACGCAGAGTTTTGGGATTCGAGGCGGGGAAAAAAATGCACTTTCTCTTACAGTGCCACCAATTACGCCAATTCCACAGAGTTCACATCCTTCTTCCGTGGCAGGCTCCCATTTGTCACCATCTCTTGGCGTCATGTGTCGGATTAATGGCCGTCCAGATTTTAATGTGCCCCCCCCCCACCGCTTCTGAAGGAGCAGCATTGAAGGCATCACTGCCGCACGGGCGGAACACCACTGTACAACACCGTGTGCCCTGACGGGGGCGGCCCTTGCATGTTTTGCGGAATTAAATTTTGCATTTTAGATTTCATCACAATCAGGTTCTGCGCATACATTTTGGAATTTGGGTTTTGTCATTTTTTGAGTGCACTGTGTGTTTGTATATAAGCTGTGGTGGGGTATTGGTTAGCACACCGGACTGGCTATCCGGATATTGCTGGTTCTACCTCCGGACCCGGCAATTGAAACAATGGTGCAATTTTTTGGGTTTTCAAACCCCCTGCCTCTGTCATGCAGAAGTGGGAACATCATGACTGACGATGATGTGTTTATAAAGATGTATTGTACATAGCATTACTTGGCTGAGGAATATGGAATTTCCACCGCTGGTTCAGGGCTTGCAGTGGACTTGAGCACCAACTAGTGATAAAGCATACTGCTTATTATTAGTAGTATTATTCCACAAAAAATACTATACCTGCGCTATTGTTACTTTGAGAAATATTGCAAAAAATCCATTTTCGTCTGCGAGATAATTTCTCACATTAATGGTAATGTTGGACGTTTTTTTAACCTAAATAATGGCTGTGTAACGCATGCCATGGAGTTTGCAGATATAAAAGATGTGCAGGTCTTAAATCCACTGTTAGACATTACAGCACGCACAGCGAGCACTGCTCTCGAGTCACAAACCCACATGTGCCACTACAAGAAGGATCACAATGAATGATGTCGCTGAGATCGTGTGTGTGACTCGCGGTGCAGGACAGGTGCCAGTAGAGAGTAATATGGCACGTAGGTTTATGACCTATCTCTGCGGAGTTCAAGTGTTCTCTCCTTGTCTTTGTTCAGTTTGTATTTTCTGTGGCCATTGCACAATCATCCCAAACAGGGCCTTTGTAAAATAACATGTCTTGTGGCTCAATCTTTCGCACACCTCCGATTAGCACGGTTGGCCACGTACGGTGCGAAATAAGTTCAACATGTGTAAACTAACAAAATATTTCACGAGTATTTTTTTAAATGTTTGAAAAATAAATGCTGGCAATGAAGTCATCCGAGCATCGTCTAAAAGTAGTGAGGTGGAGGGTGTCCAGGTGCAACAGAGGTGACAGCGTTGAGCTTGCACTGCTGAGATCCAGGCAGCCAACTGTGATTAAGCTGGGTTTTCAAGTGGAGCGAGTTGTTGGATTTAACTCGGTAACGGATGACTGCACAAAATATATAAAAATTAGTTTTTGCGCTCGATTTAGGCTAATTCCGGCTCTGAGAAGTAAAATTGTTTTGGCTGTCATGCGATCAACATTGCTCTCCTGTGGGAGAGTGCGTGAGAAAGGTCTGCCCGCTTCCACGTGGACCAGAGGTCACTTGAGGGGGGGACGTCAGCTGTGACAGCCACTTCCGTGGGCCGCTCTTTCACACGAAGGGTTGCCGCCACCGCTCTTGTGTGACGCCTGTAGCACGATCGGGATCGCAGTGGTGGGAAACAAAATTAAAGTTGCGTTGAAACGGCGTATTTTTTAAGTGCCTTGTTGGTCGTGCGTTCGCAGGGCGAGGAGTCTTTCCCAAGTCGTGTGTTCAACGTTCTAAAGAGGATCATGGGAATATCGTTTAAACGAGGGCAAAACAAGTAAATGTTAATAGCGTGTCCATTTTAAATGCACGCCGGCATTTGGTGAAGTAATGTTATGTAAAAAAAGGGTTAAGAAGCTGTGATTTCAAAACGCAAGTAATTAATTTAAATTCAAATTGCTGTGAAGTATTTAACGTGCTTCGTGCAGACTTCAACATTTTCATGTTGGCAAAGAATCATCTGTCTGCAATACATTTAACACTTAATATGAAACTGCATACATTTAGCAGTGCACACATTAAAATGCCCGTTTTTCTATGGCAGAGCAATCTAGTGTGCTAAAAATGCACTTTACTTCTCGTTTTGAATGCTCAATTATATTGCGTTTGTATGCCTCCGATTAGCATTAGTTATATAGCATTAGCGGGAGCACATTTATGCGAATTTGTCTTACGATATAGTGTATTTTACGAGAATTCTTGTCACAGACAATTACAAACATATGTTTTTGTTACTTGCCATCGATGTTTAAGCATTATTTTATTGTAACTTGTACCAGTTGACGGTTTTACATTTTCATTGCAAGATGATTTAAATTGTACTGTCAATTTACATGAAAGTTAAAGTGTAAGATAAGTAATGTGTATATATAAATCTACTTAAATCAAACGGCCTGGAAATACTTTTCCAGCAGCCACAATATCTGGCTTTTAACTGTGTGCAATTGTAATGTTTACCTGAAATATTAGCTGATTGCATACTTGAAAAATTAAGGATGCGATAAACAAGTTAAATGTTTCAAGCTTGTTAAAATAGCATTTAATTTTTTTTAAAACAATAGTTACTCTTCGTTTCGAAAAAAGCACCGGCCATTTAATTTCAATTAATCATTCTCAACGTGATGATTTTCACACCTCTGAATTTCGTGCGCATCTCAAAGCAACGCCTCTCCATCCACTTTAACGCC